TTTATTCAGATATTTATGTAATATTTATGTTTGGTTTCGGGACAGCGGCAATCCAGATGATAACAGCGCCCCCATCGGTCGATGTGCTTTTTAAAATGGCTGGCGCAATAATATCGCGGTAATTGGACAGTCTTTGTTTGACGATTTGTTGTGGTCGTTTTGACTTGTTTTTTGGTCGTTTGGCTCGTTTTTGGCTCGTTTGGGTCGTTTTGGGGTCATTTGGCTCGTTTTTGGGTTGTTTGGCTCGTTTTGGGGTCGTTTGGCTCGTTTTGGGGTCGTTTCGTAATATGTCTAAGCCCCATAGAAAACATGATCTTTAAGTTTAACTCGTGACTAACTAGATGAGATTGGGGGATTGAAGGACAAAAAAAATGGAAAAAACTACGAATAATAGGCAAAAATGTTTGCCACCAATAACAACTGGTGTCCGTAGCGGCGTTCGAATTCTAGCTGCCAAAATTGCAGTGAAATTGCACCCAGGTAATTGCCATCCAAAGAACACGGGACAACTCAGAATTCTACGACGATATATGGTATTGTAATTCTCCACTATGGGTAAATAAATTACAGGAGATGATGAAGGTAATTTCGAAATCTGCAGATTTGTGCCGAGTACCACAGGACGCCGGCGTGCAAAGTCCTTCATTCGGCCGAAGTTGAGGCAAGGCATATCATGTACGTGTCACAATAACGATTTTACACCAACAAACTTACCCCAGAACAACGACAAAACCTGTCAGGTACACTGTCACAAAACTTTTGGTTATTATATCAAAGACGTATCACTTATGTATCCAGGTCAGATGTTGGGACTGGGGTCGCCGTGCCGGTCACCGCGTCCCGTCATGTCTCAAATTTCGGTCGAACCAAGTACCGCTGAACGTCAAATATTCACAGTTACAAGTAGTATGATGAGTCACAAAGCCGGGTTATTTCACAACTGTACTTTCAATGGGCAAATTACAGTCCAAATTAAAAAAAAAAAAAAACGGAATGAAAATGTACACGATCCTGTATTTCAAATGGCGTTGACGGGTTAGTAAACGGTCAGACAGGTCATCTTTTGTTATGTTGTTTGTTATTTGTTTGTTTACGCTGCTCTATTCACTGAATATACGATACGTTTTCATGCGGAATAAAAATTATTTTGTAGTCAATTTGAACTGTGTTGCGTATGAATTTTGTGTATGCATTCAGTGTACAACTACTGTTGGGGAGTAAATGTAGTGTGTAGCAGTTAACTCCCTGGGGTAGGATTCGGGAAGACTATACCGGAACAGAACCAGACAGATCAGTTGTTTGCAAAAAAACACAGTAGTGGTTTATTGCCAGATAGACTGATATAGTAAGTAGTAACAACAGGTGAACACTGGTGAAATACACAAATTCTGAGTATATATACTCCCTGAACGAACGTGATAGAAAACACAACTCTATAAAGTAGCAATCTTAACATAAATATAAATTGGCGGCAATGTGTAGGATAGGTCAATAACATCTCGCCTGTGATAGGCTAAAATTAAAACAATCTGATAGGCTGAGAGATTTATCTCAGAATCCGAGACGTAACGTTACAAGACTGCTTCTCTAAAACTACATGCCATTCTTATAAATATTCATGTTTAAGGGCCATAATTATGATCTTATAGTAGATGCAAGAAAACTATTATTTTTTTTATAGTTTTGTCGAATTGTCAATATACTGGTATAATATAATAACAATAACCCCCGCCGAAGGTGGGTATATCACTTGATATTGCACAATTCACGACATATATGCACGAGCCGTGGTATACCCGTCTTCGGCGGGGGAGGGGGGGGGGTATTGCTTAAATATATAATGGCTGTTGTATCACCAGCATATGGGTTATCACCGTGTATTGACTTAGAAACGTCGCAATACAAGACCCTGCCATTGTATGTGCGAGTGTGTTTGGGGGAGGGGGTGGGTTCTTGCCGAGCTGGTCTTCATTTGCGAGCATGCGTTTCTATTTCTGCACATGCAACTTAGACGGACTTAATGGGTAACGAAACTTGCTTATGTCCCTCAAATATGGTGCTCTATTCACTCCCTTTATAACATCAACTGCTCCAATTACCCTGGTTACATAGCTCAGTGTACGGACAAGAGAGAATAAAGCAGTATTTGAGGGACTGTTTCGCTCCCAATGGGATGATAGTTTGGCTGGTCCCCGCCTCTCCGCGCAAGCTCAAAGAGGCAGGTAATGGGAATACGCCATTAATAAAATATGAAATATGAAATCTGAAACATGGATTCTTCTAATTGGCTATTCAATAGTACTTCCGGGGCACTTGTTCAAACATGGCGGCAAATTTCAATCTGATGTTGTCGACGAAACTTGCCCTATCAAAGAGGAATATTTGCCAAAAAGCAGGCACTCCATGGTCTGACTCAGCAGAATCTAGGAACGCGGCTTCATTGGGGAGCCCGACGTACAATCCCCCATTTTAAAAGTGCAAAATAAAGTAATAAATACTCACACGTATCAGCAGTGTGGTACTATGTAGTACTTTTTTTTAATGTTACATGTATAGCCAAAACAAAGTCAGCTTGGACGTTCAGTTGCGAGATATGACAAAATAAACGCAGCGAGTGCTACATTTCGAAAATAAAAATACAAAATAAACGCGCTATTTTAAAACGCATTGTGCATGTGGGAAATCGATGAGTGAACTCGAGCAAAATTATGCTAGTGCGAGAATTCGCTATATACCGGGCGGAGTACTCGCTAAAACATCGAGAAAATTTGCCATTTCAAAGGGCACCCCTTACAAATAATTTTGTGAACATGACGTGCAAACAAGGATATAGCAAATTATCTTTTTTTCTGTAATATTCGTGTGTAATCAGTAATTATGAAAATAATTTATGGGTGCAATGAATTATTCTTAATAAATTTCTGAATTATCTTGTCAAAATCATTTTTTTTTTCATTTTTTTTTCTCCCAAAAATCGAA